CAACGTTTGTCAGCACCACACCACACACACATTGACACATATACATATATACACACACACACACACACATTCCAACACACACACACAGACGCACACATACACACACACACACAGATATATATATATATATATATATATATATATATATATATATATATATATATACCCAATATAATATTAATAAAGTTCGGTTCGGGATCGGGAATACCGAATATTTCAAATTGTAAGACCGAATCCCATACCAAACAATTCGGGATTGGTTCGGTTTCGGTACTAAAATTTTCGGGATTTTTGGTTCGGTATTTTTTTGGTTTGGTTTCGGTATGGTTTGGGATTTTCGGTATTTTTTTTCCAGCCCTACATATATTAATGAATTAATTGATTGAAGTTTTTGGCTTTGGAGTGTTGCCACTAACATCCCTTGAGGTTTATCAAATTTTTACAAAACCACCTCACGTTCGAGACATTACACTAACACCCCTTCAAGTTTTAATTCTCTTTCACATAACCCCTTGAATAAAAAAAAAAAATCTTCTAATTTACCCTTATAATTAAAAAAAAAACTGAATTTTTTTATTGAACAAAAAATCTTTATAAATATATTAAAAAATATATCAAATTAAAACATAGACAAAAACAAATTAAGAAAAAATATTTAATTAATACATTGAAAAAATATTTTATTTAAAATAAAGAAGCTGTTTTTTTCTTCCCCTCCCACCTCCACCTCCATCTCCTCCTTCTATCTTCATCACCTCATTTTTTCTCCATCATCACCACCGTTTCAAACTTTGAGCAACCACCTCCATATGACCCTAGCTAACATTCTCATATTCTTCCCATCGGAAACCACCTCCATCACCCACCCATCACAGTCACCTAACTACCTTTCACCCCACAATCCGCAAAGGTATCCCCGTTCCAGCAACATAAAGAACCAGTAGTGGTGGAGATGAAATCTGGAAGCTATGGCAGAACCCGAGCCCACTTCCTGTAAATTGGATTCCTAGCTAGCACCACCACCAAAACCCCAATTCCCCAAAATCCCCACCATCTTTCACCGCATCCGCCATTTCCACCCCAACCTAATTTCAGTACCAAATTATAGTTTTATTAGACAGAGATCATTTATTGGTTTGTTCAAGTTTGAATGGGTGGTGGTAATGGAGAAAGAAGGAGAAGATCGAGGTGGTTGCTCAAGTGGGAGGGGAAGAAGAAGATGAACAAGTTTTTTTCAATAAAATATTTCTCTCTAATGACTCAATTCCTTTGGAAACTCTATTTTTATGGTAATTTCTGACACGATCCGTTAACCTGACAAGAAATTAACAGGTTTTCGGGTTAACACGATAATGAATATTAAGCTAACAAGTCGGTCTAGATATACATGCAGGTAACTTGTTACATGATATGAAAAATATTAATTTAACAATTTCATACCACTAAAAAGAAATACTATAATTAACAACAGTATGATTTAATCCCGAATTGAACTGAAAGTTAAAATATATATATATATAAATAAAAAAAAATTGATGACCGTTGGATCGGCTCAGATTTAATTTTTGGTCGTCCAATGTTTTTTTTATCCTTAAATCAGACTCTTTCTCATTCTCAAAGGCTGGAATTGAAGCAGCTGCTCTCTTTCTCAAACTGAACTCTTGAATCTCAGTCTCAAACCTCAACTCTGGTCAGCCATAAATCCATGATCACCCTCTCTAGTCTCCCTCCACTAGACCATTGTCACCGCATAGTGGACTAGTAACCCACAACCAGTCGATCTGCTATTTTTGTATCTGATTCTCTCTCTGGATCGAGTCAATCTCGAGCTCTAATCGAGGTAATTGTTGATTATTTCGAATTACTTTTAAAAAATAGGGTATTGTTTCGAATTAGTTTTCAAATTAAGATTGGTTTCGTTTATTCAATTTGGGGTTTTTCGTTTCGAAATAGTTTTCGAAGTAATATTTATGGGGCAACATGGTATGTGCAAATTTAGGGGAAAAAAATATTTTTCTTCACATATCATAATGAGTCAGGTCATTTTACATGTTGGGTAATATGACCTAACCTGTTAAGAATATGTTAAGATAATAAGTGTGACATGATACAATCCGTTAAGATAATAGGTGTTATACGAAAACGATACGAACACGACAAACATAATCTGTTTGTCAAGCCTTTTCGACCATTTTCTTTCCAAGTCTGTCTGCTTACACCACTTTCTTCTTTCTTCTTTCGTACTGTTCAAATGATCAATTACATCATTTCTTGTTCGTTGTTTTCAAAGTAGAAATTAATTTCTTTTCTTAATATTTTTTTGTTCACATGGTCTTCTTCTGATTTTTTGTTTTTTTTTTAAATGTTTAATGTTTAATAAATTTTTATATACAATATAATATTTTTTTATTAGTTAAAGAAGTCAATAAGGATAAATTAGTAAATTTATACGCAAATTTTTTACTCAAGGAGTTATATAAAAAGGATTTAAAATCTGAGGAGTGTTAGTGGAATGTCTTAAACGTGAGGAGGTTTTGTGAAAACTTGATAAACCTCAAGGGGTGTTTGATGTAATTAACCCCATTGCTTTACCTCTTTTCATGCTAATCACGCCACATATCCACTAATACAGTGGTTGTCCCAATTAGCATTAATTTTAGCTTTTGAGTCTTTTTTATTTGAAAACGGCTCGCTTTTTTTTATTTAGAATGTCTTCTTTAAAGTTTGTACCTCTTTTTAGTGTTGCAATTAAACCTTTATTACTTCACCTAAAAAAATAAAACAAAAGAGAGAGTAAGAAGAATGATGACATCAGGTATCCTAGGAATTTGTCAGAAGTAAAAATAGCCATATGAATCCTTTTTTAATAACCATATGACTCAATATTAATTTTCTTTTCTATACAAGCGGCGTTGGGTTGGGGTAGAAAAATGATACATGGTCATAGATGCTAAGCAAATGTTTTTAACCATTTGAGTTACATAATGTATGACTAAAAATTTAACTGGCCAACTTTAAATAAAAGTCAAAATTTCAACCAAGCTTGAACGTTTCTAAACTCAAACCTCTCTACATTTAAATATTTTGACATTAGACTTTAGAATTCTATAATAATTAAAATTTACCTTGCTCCTAATTTCAACCTATATAGAGAGAGGAAAAAAACTTTCATGAACCGGGTATAATGTCATTGCGCCGTCCCATGCTAATGATATGTGGAGAGAAGCTTACAAATGTCATGATATTATTAGCATGGAGGACCACTCTGGCAATGCATCGTTCTATGTAAGTTGCTCTTTATAGAGAGGGGAGAACCTGGTATGCAATTGGAAGCAAGATGACATATTCCAAGCCTATTACACGGTCTATTTAATTGAACTTGTTCGCTTGACATTTTGCGATTGATTTGGAATATCATATAATTGACAAGGGAAAAGTTATTTGTAAGAGTGCAAGATGGAATAGTGTTTTCAATTTCGACAGTAAAATTTTTGAATTCGTAATCCGAATATTTTTCAAAAATTTGGAATGGAAATTGGATTGCATCTTAGAATTCCAAGGTCCGTATTTTGGATCCTAATTTTCCATTCCAAACTTATTTCAATAAAAAAAAATTCTGAAATATTCTAATTTTTTGAATTAGTTAATCAAATTATGTATATTGTAATCAACTTTTGTATTTTATCGTTAGTTTTGGATACATGTTGTTTATTTTTTTTTCTTTGATATTAAGCATGCACTTATATATTAAAAGCATAAGCAACATGTCACATCCCGGCCCGGGCCTCCACCATATCTCGGGCTCAATTCCTCTGTAACACAATATTATCCGCTTTGGACCCCAACCACGTCTTCACGGTTTTGTTTCTGGGAACTCACACGAGAACATCTCAGTGGGTCACCCATCATGGGATTGCTCTCGCGCGAACTCGCTTAAATTTGGAGTTCCGATAAAACCCCGAAGCTAGTGAGCTCCCAAAAGGCCTCGTGCTAAGAAGAGGTGGACATGTACATATAAGGCATGGAGGATCCAATCCCCTGTGGAATGTGGGATGCTACAATCCACCCCCTTAGGACCAGACATCCTTGTCGACATACTTCCGACTAGGGATTGGATCTGATACCAAATTGTCACATCCCGACCCGGGCCCCCACCACATCCCGGGCTCGACTCTGCTGTAACACGATATTGTCCACTTTAGGCCCCGACCACGCCCTCACGATTTTGTTTCTGGAAACTCACACGAGAACTTCCCAGTGGGTCATCCATCCTGGGATTGCTCTTGCACGAACTCGCTTAACTTCGGAGTTTCGATAGAACCCGAAGCCAGTGAGCTCCCAAAAGGCCTTGTGCTAGGAAGAGGTGGGGATGTACATATAGGTAGCGTTTGGTGCGCAGACGGGACGGGACGGAACAGATGTTCTGTGCTATGTTTGGTACGCGCAGGACGGAACATGATGGTTGTTCCGTTCTGCGTTTGGTAACGCATGGACAGAACGGAACCAAAAGATTAAAAAGACTAAAATACCCATGTTCCGTCTGTTGTTTAGTACAATTTTATGCGTGGAACGGGACAAGACTTTTTTTTTTTTTTGGGTTCAAATTTGAACACTATTATCCATTATTTGTTTTTCTTGGTCCAAATTTTAATAGGTATATGTTGTGTTCCACATGCAAACCCCTTTAAAATTTGTAATTTTTAATCTCCTAGTTTTCTACAGCTCCATTTGAATTTTCAGCACCAACCCATCAAATTTTATTATGCAAATGTCAACCACATAAAGCAAAAGAACAGTTTTCTTCTCCTAATTCCTACAGCTTACATCAAGTATCCACTTGTTTATCTAAAGAGTTATTCAATTCATTCTATTATAATCTTAGATACCAAACAAAGCCTTCGCCTTTGTTTTTCATGAAAAACGCTTTCATATCTCAGTCCTAATATACATCAATGTCCACTGTTTAATATACTAGCAATAACCAAAGACAACCCGTGGTGTTGATCGACATTGCCAGAATTTTATCATTACCAGAAAGCCAGAATATTTGAAGTGTTAGTGGTACTGCACTACAGAGGCAGAATATGTACAAACTCACAAAGCAAAGCAAAGAATAATAATCAAACTTGTTACTTAAACAGAGAAGAAATAAAAAACATTTGAACAATTGGTTTTCACTGTAATGCCATCAAATTACAAAGAAATTTTTTTACAAAGAAAGAAAATCAATGAGTACAAAGATGAATAGGAATTAGAAAACAGCGAAGGTTTCCAAAGTGAATGCATAACCAGAAATATAACCTGTTTGCTCTCAATAAGATCGACCTCCCCTTCCTGTTGTGCCAATTAACAAATACAACATCAGGAATCTGATAAATTTACATCATGGCAGAGTAAAACAAAATTATATATAAGAGAGCGAACATCAACTCACCAACCCAGAGACCATTTGATGAATCAATTCAATAGCAATCAAATTACAAAGAAAGAGAGACCGAGAGCTACACAAAAACAGATCGAACCTGGAGCGGAGATGCAGATCTGAAGATGCTACACGGAAGAGGATAAGGAGGAAGGTTCACAGAGCTGCTACACGGAAGAGTTGCGAAGGGAAGATGTGAAGAAGATGAGGAGGAAGGTTGCGAAGGGGAGAGATGGGGGTGAAGAGGATCGGCGGCTGAGAAGAAGATAAATAGATTTTAGGGTTTGTTATATGATTTTGATGCTGTAAATTTTGAAAAAGATAGGGGGCATTTTTGTCCTAAAATGTTAAAAATTTATGTCCCACGGGCATGGAACAACCCGTTCCACGGGGGGGGGGAGGTGGAACCAAAAATCCTTAAAAACTTGTCCCGTGGAACGCCTCGTCCCACTCCTTTTAGGCGTACCAAACGTAGGACGGAACGTCTCGTCCCGTCCCGTTCCGTCCCGTCCCGCGTACCAAACGCGCCCAAGGCTTGGAGGATCGACTCCCCTGGGCGATGTGGGATGTTACACAACCCACTATATTGCAAAATTAATTGAATTTATACATAAGCATACACCAAATATTAAGGGAGAACAATAAATTGCATGTATGAAAATGTTTGAGAATATTCAAAAACCTATAAAATATATGAATTTTCGAATTATATAATGAAATTTATGAGGTTACTCCAATCAATTCTGAATATTTAGAAAATTTTGAAATTAAAAATTGTGATCCGATCCGAATCGAATCCAAAATTTTAGAATGAAAATTGGAAACATTATTTCTGATTTAATTCTTCCGAAAACCACACCTCATTATTTGCTTGATCAGAGATTCTTTCATACACATTTCTCTATTAATTAATGAAACCCTCTTTGTCAATCAAAAAATGGTGAAAAGACAATTTAATCTTCTATCACACAAAAAATGATGGGCAATAATGTAATTTCACAGATCCATTTAACTTTGAATATTTCAAAATTTTCGAAATTAAAAATTGTGATCCGATCCAAATCGAATCCAAAATTTTAGAATGAAAATTGGAAATATTGTTTCTGATCTAATCCGTCCGAAAATCACACCTCATTATTTGCTTGATCAGAGATTCTTTCATACACTATTTTCCACAAGTGAGTGGTTGTTCCTTTCCCTGATAGCCGTAAAGAGATCATTGTTGTTAGGCCTATCAAAATGATTTCTTTCTTCTTTGTGCGGAGCAGGCCTAGGTACCGTTTGGTACGTGGGACGGGACGGGACGGAACGGGACGAGCCGTTCCGTCCCACGTTTGATGTGCCTAAAAACTGTGGAACGGATTGTCCTATGGGACGAAATTTGGCTGATTTTTCGTTCCACTTCTTTCCCCTGGAACGACCCGTCCCACATCCGTGGAACAAAAATTTATAACATTTTATGACAAAATTTCTCCTTATCTTTTTCAATATTTACATCATCCGTTCCGTCCTGTTCGGTCCTGTCCCGTCCCGTCCTGTTCCGTCCCGCCCTGTCCCGTTCCGTCCCGTCTGCTTATGCTTTGGTCAATAACTCTCAGGGCTTAAAACACTTTGTAGAATTAAAAAGGAACAAAAAAAAGACCTACGAGGTTTTGTTGCAAGAGTTCCACGGTCTAAAACTCACATTACGGTTTATTACTAATGAGTAGAAAAAGTTCAAAACTATTACAATAATTTAAGAAAGTTTCGAATTTGAGACGCATGAGCAGAAGTCAATATCATATAAGACCACATGCTTTCTATGTTATAACTTTTTGATTTGTTGATTTGCAAACCGGAGGACGTTAGGTGGAAGACTCGAGGTGCACCTATATAAGTTACGTGCGCACACAAATACATATGTGTATATATTAATATATATGCTTAATATATATGCATGTTACTCATGGTATTTGCCTTGCATTTTCTAAAATATATGCTTGTTACTCATGGTATCTGCCTAAACACGTGCACATGAAGGTTGCAAGTAGGCAAGTGTTTTTATTTTTGTTTTAGGAACAAATTGCTTTATCCGAAAAGAAGAAAAAAAAAACTCAGATAATAGTATCATGAGCAGTAAAGAGGCATACTACAGAAGTGCTAGTTGGTTTAGTAATTGAAGTTATGAAATATTAAAAAATAAAATAAAAAATTGGTGAGAGAAAATAGGAGTAGAAGAGAAAGTAATTTAATGAAATTACGATACTATCTTTGTTTATTTAAACTATTATTGTATTTTTTTTTCCAATAATATATTTCAACTAAGTGGATATAGGAATAGTCAATTAATATTATGGTCTAGTGGTATTCATTTTTACTTACAAGTGAGAAGTTTTAAATTCTATGCTTAAAATTGGCAAGCTCATTAATTGGGTCAAATTTCACAGTTATTGGTATCCTAAGCCGACAAGGGACACAGGTTAGTGTTGAACCACTTCTATCACAAAGCTTGGAGTCACCCTTCCTTCCATTATAATCTGTCTGATATGTTTTTTTAAATCAACTATTTCTTTATATTTCAAATCAATTCTGAAACTACAAATTTTATTTCAAATTGATTATCAAACAATTCCGATTACGCTTAGTTGGACAATTTGATTTGTATGTATCTGTTCTAATTTGTTTTTGTACTTAGGAAATGTTGTATATCCATGTTTTCATATCAAAAGATTCGAAGCTATGTTCTCCATGAGCATCATTACCTCGGCCTTCGTGTTGTGATTTCATTGCATAGTTTGATATTAGGATTTATGACTATTTTACCAGATTATTATTGATTTACACTAGTGGGAGGATAAATGGTCCTGATCTATCACAACTAAGATATTCTTTCTGGTTACAACTTACAACCAGTAAGATATTTTTGATAGTCATATATCAGCATATTGTGTAAAATCCGTATAGTTCTGTTTGGGCCCAAAATATTTAGTTTGGGCCGAGTGTGGAATCATTCTTGGCCCGGAAAGATTTATTGTTAGGGGTCGTCTTGTTCATGGGCCGCTTAATTAGAGTCGGTCGAGCCCCATTGGGAAAAGGAGCGGCCTGGATAAGGAAGAGGCGTGGGAAGTTATGCGGTTAACAGAAATCCTGGTGTGATAAGGAGTCCCGGTGAGATGAGGAGGTCGAGACACATTTTGAATACAGCCTGGTAGAAAGGTTAGGTTCAAAATCCTGATGGGAGTAGGAGTGCTCGAGATGGTGTTTGATTAGAAGAAGAAGTCCTAATCCGAGTAGGGTTTAACTACTCGGATTAACTCTACTTAGGAAGTATTTGATGCTATAAATAGAGGAGGCTGTGCATTGTTCAAGCTCCCTCCAATTCAACACACAACTGCCCTGCGCAAACTCTCTCAACAACTTTGAGATTTTTTATTTTCTCTTTTCGCTGACATATCTTCTGTTGGCATCAATAGCACTGTGAAAGCAACCGATGATATCTTCAATCGGCATAGATAGCTCAGTCGCCGTAGAATCAGCCGATCTCGCAGCATCTTCCGTTGGCATCAAGAGTAATGCGGCGAAGGCGGTTGGTTGCCTATCCAAGTCTCGGTCGAGAAGGATTTCCGAGTCCTTATTGATCGAGGTCATCTCATTAGCCTTCTCGGCGAAGTGAGGTGTTACAGCTCACTAAGCTCGGCGCATTGCAAGCCGAGTTATTTTATTATTGGATACTCTCAAGTGGGATTTAGAGTTTGGCATTCAGACGGCCGAACCACGTTCACTATTAAGACTTATATCCGTTTTGAGTATTTGTGCCCTTACACTTTGGTGTCGATTCGGCGTGAGTTTACTTTGACGAATACCATCACTGTGATCGAATCCAACGACGACGATTCGTGAACTTCGTAAGAATAGTAGCCTTGTCTTCAGGTTCGAGAACCCAAGAGCCCGAGACGTGTTCCTTCCTCGGTCGCAATCGCAAGACGCAGAAGTCAGCCGCGCACCTAACGTAACATCAGCAAATTTTACTCCTCGACCGAGCTCGGCCGACGCGTTAGCACGCCCCGCATTCAACCGAAGGACGTAGTTAGCTTTTAGATTACTCGGCCTGCGCACCACGTAGGCTTGGTAATTTTTAGGGTCAACATTTTGGCATGCCCATTGGGACCTAGTGCTAAATTACGAAGTTCATGCCAATTGAAACGCGATTGGTAAAAAAGAAAATAGCTATGGGAAAATCAACAACTGATTTTCCAATTCAAAACATAGGACAAAGTGTGTCACAGGCGCAGAATCCCCTTAACGCCTTGACACCTGAGTCCACAAGGGCGGCTTGTCAAGAAAGGGAAGTTAATCTCGACGGCCAGCTTCGCAGTCTCGAAGTCCCTAACAGAAACACCTGTGTTCTCAATGAAGGGATAATTGAAGATTGTGACGAGGATGGTGGTGAAGGATCTGATCCACCAACAAGATCGTTTATAAAAAACGACTTGACGAGCAGTCTCAGACGGTTGAACAGACGCTTAGTCGAGGAATCGATAAACTGCATGACGTGATACGTAATACCAATGAGACACAAACCAGATTGCTTTAAATGCTGGTTAGTAAGGTCAGCGACGACAGGTTTTTCGATCTTTTCCTGCATTTGCCACCAAGAAATAATCTGTCAACAATTGTACAGGCCGAGTCAATCCTTACTCGGCTCAAACCAATAGACTCAGAAAAAAGGAGGAGGATCGAATAGTAGGTCAGGTGGATCCGACCATAGAGTAGAAGCCACACCCGTTAATATGACCGAGGTTTAGCGGATGATCGATTCGGCCATGAAAAAAGGGCCGAAGTTTCCTAAATTTATCCCTCTGTATCCAACTTATGTGGAACAGTTCGAATACCCTAAAGGTTTCAAAATCCCAGATTTTAGCCTTTTTGCCAGTGAATCGTCCCTATCTTCGTTAGAACATGTGGCTCGTTTTACCGAGCAATGCGAAGATTTTAATAGTGACTTTCATAAGCTACGACTGTTTAACTTTTCGTTGACCAGCTCAGCATTTGCCTGGTATATTAACCTCCTTCCTAATTCCATCCAAAGTTGGGAGGAGTTGGTCGAGAAATTTCACGAGCAATTTTATCGGCCAGGGATGGAAATGTCAGTTTCTTCATTAGCAAGGATGGCTCGAGCATCTGATGAGTCACCAATGGATTATCTTACCAGATTCAAATCGACCAGGAATTGGTGCCGAGTGCCTCTACCCGAAGTCGAATTTGTCAGACTCACTCTGAACGGCCTCGATGTGGAATACAA